CCCTCCAGTACTAAGATAGATGAAAAGTCCAAATCCCATCCGAATCTATGGGACCGTGAGAGATGAAAGACTAGTCGGCGAGAGAACGATCTCGTCCTACATCTGCACATGAGCAGTTTGCCGTTGTTATGCATGGCGATGGATCATAGTGCATGCTCATGCAGTCTTGTTCGCTCTGGATGTTGGGGCGTGCCAGCAGTATTATCTTTTGTGCGACCCAGTGGTTTTCCACCCATTGTGGTTCCATGCCAGCTACAACAATCGTTTGAAAGCGGGTTAGCGCCGCGCCAAGTCCAGTCCCGCTGACACGCCTTGGCATCGAGACTGCATGTTCAGAAATGCTATGCTTGATCAACATTTAACAAACTTTCAGTTGTCCACTGCTCAGCTGGAGTCGGGCGAAGTGGCACATTGGTAGCTTTGGAGATGTGTTTGATGACCGTAGCGAATACTCGACCAATTGATATTCACGCAGTAAGTTCGTTCTATTGATAATAGCGTCACAGCTTTGGACCGAAGAACAATTTAAGGATCTGGATAATGAGGCTGCGTTCAGACTTCGCGACGGCAGCGCTTCAGTCACTCGTTCGGCGCGATCGATCGCGCATGTTTTCAACTGCGTCGATCGCGCGAGCGAAGAGGTGCCGTGACGAAGTCTGCCTAAGGGAGCCAGTGCGCGCAAGCAGCACATCACACAGCCCTTTCTTACTCAATACGTGCTCGCTTGCAGCCATCATAAACTCACCGTATTGCCGTTCGTTAAGAAGTCACAGGACAAAAAAAGGGAACACGTTTTTGCTGTATTTTTTTTGATTGCCAGCAAATTCCTATCCCAAGCAGTCTTGTGCTTTTTCGACGGTAATAACCATCGGGTTGTTATTGTGTTTTTCTTATCGTTTTAGCTCTGCGCAAAATTGGATAACATTTAATCCGTATAGAATGAATTAGCATACTATAGTGTTTCATCCCCCTCCCTCTCCTTGAGGCTGACATGAAGTTCGTTACAGGTGGTTCGCGGACATGATGGCGGCGTGCCATCGCGGCCGTAGTGCTATACTCCCCTCTTGGTGTGGACGATATCCCTTTGTAAACCTCCATTCTCTGCGCTACCTCTACTAATGCCTCGTCTTTCTGGTCTGACGCCACTCTGTGCATTGCCGAGTGTACTTTGGCACATGCTCTGTTCGAATATAGTAGTGCAGCGCAGAGTAAATCATATGCTCCCCTCTGCCGATAGCGGAATGCGTTGAGTATATTCTCGGCGAGGCTGTGTCGAGACATAGATGCAGAGGGGCAGAAGCAGAGACGCGAGGGGCATTGATAGAGATGACGGCAGGGAGCGGAGATTTACTGGGGGAAATCTCCCTCTCGAGGGGAAGTGTGCATACGGCCCCATGTGGCTGCGTTTGGCGCGTCGCCAAACCAATTCCCCGCCAGCTGTCAAGCGGGTAAGTATCAACGACTGGTGGAGAATGTCTGGCACGGACGATATGATGCACTATTATTGCTTGCAGAAAAAAAACGGGTTTGCGCCGTGCTAAATGCAGCCGCGCTAACCCTAGCCACAATCTGCGGCGAAAGGCGACCTAAATTGTGGTTCTCATAGTTTTAAACTGGAAGTAGGTTTTATATATGCTCATGAAGGTCATTAAGATTTTCGTGAAGATGATGAAAACGCCTCACTTTAGATAGTATGCAGTCTTCGGCGATGCCGTGCTCTAGCCGTACAAAGCTTTGAGCAGTATCTTTCGCTGTACAAATTGGTATTACAATTTGCTCAACAGAATGGTTGTATTTCTACAGTACGTGTTTTTCATTATCCATAATTTTTGTACCGAACATATAAAGTTGCTACCCAGGAAGAAGTTGAAAACTTCTATCGTATCATGCAAATGGCGCGACTTTAGCAGCGCGAAGATCCTGAACCTGATTTAGAGGAGTTATATTTATATCACAATGATAACTAATGTACAATGTTAATTCGACTGCTTGTAACAAATACTCGTTCTTTACTCGTACTGTTACACTTTCTGTAATCTCATTTCGAATTGGCAATGTTATTCGTCAAGATCGTGTCTTTCACGTGTTTCTGAACCATATCGAGTATCAACAATTAATTTGCCAAATAAACATTAATTACATTATTTGGATGTCATGGAATTAAAACGATACGAGCATCAGCTTCGATCGGACATTTGTGGGCGGGGAGAGCGCGACGGGCGGCCGGGTAGGCAACTTGTAGCTTGATAGGGCGCAGTAAAGGTACCTTCCCTGGAAAACGCTACGCAGCGCATGCTCAGGGGCGCCGAATTCTGTCCTGCTAGGCGTTATCAATCCTACACATCTTCGGTATTTATCAAGTCACTTGCCCTTAAGAACCCAACCCATTCCGCGATTGCAGTTCTAACTCTCTATAGACATCTCAACGCTCCCCCTTCCTCCAAGTGCGTTTCGATGTTTCTTTTCGACTGGACGACCAGAAAATGTGAGGCATAGTGTGCACGGATGAGAGACAGGAAATGCGAAAACACAGAAAAAAAAACGTGCGACACGACCAATACAGTTCCACTTAGATATGAACGCATGTGTATGATCCTACGTGAAATTGCACCACTTTCGGCGACGAACTGAAGATACCTGCTTAAAGATAATCTGTACACTCACCTCTTAGTAAGGTCCTTGCCACATGCGAGAAGAATGGGTTTAAAGAATGTGCAAGTGTAACAGTTTCTTCAGTTGAGAGCGCGCGAAAATGAGGCTGAAGGGTAACGTCACCCGAGTGCCGTTTGGGACTCCATGCAATCTCAGGCCTAGCACTTCGATGCCAAGATCCTGCAGCAAAGCACGCACTCAGCGGTAGAGAACAATCACAGGTGAGCGATCGCAGACAAGTAGCGCGTCCGGCTAAGGTTAAGGGTGTGGCTGGCAGGGCGGTAGCGCAGGGCACATCATTGGTTGGGGATTTCAGTCGAGTTCGTACGACCCCCCCCCCCTCCCCGTTTTTTGGGGTTGGTACGACCTCCCGCCGTCCCTTTCTCCCTCCTCATCGACCGTCGAGCGGGGATATATACTACGCATGAAACAGGAAAATCACGAAAAGTCAAACCACTCCTAGAACGCCAAAAAGGAAACCCCCTCTCCTGGCGGCCAAATACGACCCCCCCTTGGGAATTCCCCAATAACTATGTGCCCTGCGGCAGCGCGAGCTGATAAGGGCTAACAATGGACGTCATTGTTGTGGGATCAACATATTAGTATTTGGACGCTAGGAAATTACTATTTACTACTTATTGCATGCACCATAGGCACATGAGCAACATGAAGCAACTGCAAATCAAAAAAAGCTAATTGACAAAATGGACCTTGCAATCTTCAGAACTCGATGTAATAATTGAAAGAAATTCGATGAAAAGGTGAAAAAGAAAAGGTAAAGGAGGAAATACCGAATTGAGCGTCTAAAAGACTTTTGTTGATTATTCCGCTTGGGTATATAACTTCCCCTCAATGGGTAGGAAGGAGTGAAGCGGAGAGGAGGACATGGGGGTGGTTATGAGGGGATTTTTTCGTATTTCTTAAATGGTCGCATGCCCCTTGCCGTTTGCCAGTGAAGCTTTTTGTGGTGGGTGGAGTTACTATTATTCAAAACTGGTTCACAGCGCAACCGCCTCACGTTCTCGAGCAGGAATATGGTACAAGCGTTGCACATAGTTCAATAATCGTTAGGTAACCCTTGTGAATCGTCTTCCTAACAGATTAAATTATTTGAAAAATAGGATTGCAATAGGTCAAGGCAGATCAAAATGTCAACCTCTCACTATCAATTCCGCTCACCTTGTGTGGCCATGCAGTTCTTTAACAATCAATGTTCATCATGTATTCGTCCTGTTCCTCGGTCGTTTCACTACTTTCGAAATTGCTTTTTTTCAATTATTGCGATACTAGCGCCTTTATTGGTGGAGCTAATTTTTTTCCTCAAAATTTCTGTTTCTGTTCATTTGAACCCAGAAATTCTACAGTAATCTTTGTTCCATTCTATCTACCAAATTTTTCTACCACCAAATTCAGTTCAAATACTATTATGGATTTACAGATGTATGAACAATTACTCACAATGACTAACATCGATGAGAGTCCTGTGCCCCCGAAGGCAAGTCAAAAACGTTACAGTAAATTATTTTCGAAATATCGTGAGCGTTAATTTGACTGGAAGAGAGCAGTGACACAGAGATAAGGCCCAATTTTTGACCGCATGTTTCTGTCACACGTCGCGCGCGGGGACAGAAATTCACTAGCAAGATACAGAACATGGCACTGGTTTCCGCCAATGAATGAGTGGCTAATATTTCCGGGTATGTGACAAGACAATCGTAATGTGCCGCGCTGGTGAGCTGACAGACGAGTTGTTCTGCCTGGAAATCGCCGCATGATACCCCGCGCGCGACTACGCGAGAAGTGACAATTGGCTTCCTCTTTCTCCATATTTCTATCCTGCTGAATATCCTTATAACACACACACTCATGCGACCAATGTATCTTTTAGAAGCGACGAGCAGATTTCACTGACGAGCCGCCAATCAAAAGACACGAAAATGGCGATTTCAGGAGTTTCGAGTCAGAAATGTATACGGTCAGGACCATATTCATTCGCTTCATTGCAAAAAAGGCTCCTCACGTCACACGAACTGGCAACTTCTGTTTCAGATATCTCCAACATATCCCACAAACCCAGCAATTCCAAATCAGCAGCACTTTTTGCAAACACTTCAGGATGTTTTCCAACAACCACTAAATTCGCAGGCACGAATTCCATGAAACTTCAAGAAGTTCTTCGAAAACCAAAGATTTCCAGATTTTTTCAATGAACTGGCCGACATTCCAGTCAACGATATCCTTTCCACAAGAACAAACTTCCATCCCTCAGAACGTTGCAGCAGTGCCGGTAATTTAATAATCAAATCTCTTTGTAATACCAGATTAGCGGCTCTGGGTTACTTTTGCGCTCTGGGCAGAGAGCGCGGACCGGACATCGGGCAACCAGACAATAGCGACACCGAGGGCGCTAACGTATTTGGGGAGAGGGGGGACCACGCGGCTCGCAGCGAGCGTTGACTCATCTGCTCTTCCACTCCTTCCTCGGCGAGATTGTACTCGAAACCAGGGTACAGCATCGTTGTGTCAAACCCATGGGGGGGGTCGTACTTTTGCTCTGGGGAGGGGGTCGTATTTGTAAGACAAATTTATTTTGATAGTTGAATTTTTCGTTTTATATGCACTATGCATATGCATTCTGTACGCCCGTGAGATATACGTTGCATAGTTATTGGATACCCCCGCCCCCCGCTCGACAACTTTTTCGCCGACTATATACTCATCGCTCGTCGTCGGCGACGAAATAGCCGTGGAGGTGGAGGGAGGGGAGGTCGTGCCTGGGACCCCGTTCGAAGGGGGGGGGGGTCGTACTCACACCGACATTTCGCGCACATCCCCATGCTGTACCCTGCTCGAAACAACCCATAGATATAGTAAAAGCGCGAAACTAGCAGGCAACTAAGAATAAAGCAAAAAAGCTCCGCCGGGAATGTGTCTGAAAGCGCACAGATGGTTCCTGTCATATTTCATATTTAGGCAGCGTCCGCGATCAACCAAAGTGAAAAAAAACCCTCCATTGAAAACGAACGCGGAGTCCGCAATCACAGCAGAAATCCCACTCTTGCGGCTCGAAATCGATTGGTTGACGAGGGCGGAGTCAACAGAGCCGGGCTGACGCCTCCTGTCCTCCTGTTAATCCCGCCCCGACTGGTTGACAGTTATCAATGCTTGCTGGCATTGATATACGCTGAATTTCTAGAGTTCCGAGGCGGCGACGTGTATTGGAGAACTCACCAGAAGTTTGCGAAACTCGTCCACATGCCTTAAATTTCATAGGGTCTTATTTCACGCTCTTCCACACCTTTTTCCTGCTTTTTTTGATTAGTGCTTCATTGGCCACCTGTTCTAGCAAATGTGACCCCTGAAACCTGCCAAAGTCCATCGCGGGCGCTGTCTTTAAAAGCGGGAAAACAGCTCATGACTTCAAAAGAGCCGAGCAAGCGAAGAGGTTGGGCGAGGCGAATTGTCTTGTAATTTTATTGTGAGGAAACTGCTCAGGGTTCAATTTCTACGATTTGATAGGTAGCTATTGCACTAGATTCTTTTTTTAGATTCTGCGGATTGGTTGATTGTCACTTTTACACAAAGGATGGGTTCATCTAGGCCAGAATTCCTTCCCTTGTAGGCTCAGGCAAAGATCTTGCGACCTACAATTGTTTCTTCGCACTTTTCAGCGTTAACTGTTTTGCCTTCTATATATAAGCCTAGGCGGTGTTATATTCATGTCCTAAACATGAAATTACTTCTATTTCGCCGAGGAGGGAGCAGAAGAGCAGATGAGTCATCGCGCGCCGCGTGGCCCCCATCCCAAATACGTTAGCACCCACGCGGGTATGTGGTAAGACTTATACTGAAAAGCTGGAATTCGCGAAGTTACAACAACCACAGAATGCGGACGAGAGGGTGCAGAGAAAAACAGAAGATCGAGGGAAGGATTAAGTGCAAGTTGTCCGCAGACCGTGGTAAGGCATTGTTCACAGTCTGCGGCCCAGCGTTTCTCTGGAACGCAGCGGTTCGGCGAAAAGCTTTCGATACGTATCGACTGGCGGTTGGGCGAAGAGTCTGGCGGTTGGGCGAAAGGGTTTTGATACGAATCGACGGGCGTTTCGCCAAACCGCTTTTTCGCCTTCGACGAAACGCTAGCGTGATCGCGTGCCCCCCCGGCGTTTTTCGCCAGCGAAATCGCATTTATTGCTTTTCGCCCAACCGCCGAACCGCGGCGGTTCGGCGAAACTAGCGGTTGGCGATTCTCCGATCG